GAGAGAAGGGGAGAGAGAGAGAGAGAGGGCTTAACATCTCCCAGGACTTTTGCTTTGTGCTGTCATCTTTGCTGTCATAAGGACTTGCCCTAAGGGCCCATGCAAAAAAGGATTGTAGGCTCTCAACGACTCACACGCTCCGATTGTGTTTACCTTCTGATTAGCCGGTTGATTAGCTGACCAATCAGTCAAATCAATGTGTTTAGTCGGATCATTTATCATACAACGATACAAAGCTTTGTGAAATGGCTGCTCAGTGCTAGGGCCACGACTGCAAACAATCTCGGGGAGCATCCCCTAGTCCAGGTAAAGACATTCCAGATGATGTTCCCTCCTCATCTCTGTTAAATGATGTGTCCCTGTTATCTAACTAAGATTAATAAACACCTTTTGTACACATCCTGCTTTTTAAATGTCCTTTGACTCATTAATCTTTTAGCTGATTAGAATAAACCAGCTATATGTGCCAAAAAGGCGCTGCTACCATCTGACAATTCTACTTTTGGCAGGCCTCCTTCATACTTTTTCCAATGGCTCTCTAATCCATGTCCATTCCAAGATCCAGCCTTAATTCTGGACTCTGCCTGAGGAGCATACTGTCGGTTGCGGGGTGCAGTGTATTAGAGGTACCTGGCAAACATTCAGAAAATGCCCCTATGCTACTTCCCATGCCAAGAACTACTAAAGAGTGGAGGATCCTAACCGAAAACCCTGCCTGTGGTTGAATTTCAACCACATTTTCTTCCTGCCCAACAAGGGCGACTGAAAGAGCATTTATTTGGTAGTCACAAGCATGCCTTGTGGTTCCTCCAAAGCTGCTTAAGGCAGTGGTGTCATGCCGCCAAAGCTCACAGAGCCAAACCCTGAGCACTTTTCTGACATTCTCTGCCACCTTCCCCAGGTTTATCTGTTCACTCTGAGCTTAGGTGCAATCCTCATAGTAGCTGGAAGAGAAATGGGTTTCTCAAGAAACAGTAAATTGTTACAAAGATAGCTTCCTTTACTGGTGATAATGGAAGGCATTTGAAGGTGATCTTGAATTGGCAATAAAGAGCCATTAGGTGTGTGTGTGTGGGGGGGGAAACAACAACACTTCCTCCTCATTGGTTTATAGGGACCAATCCAGCTACCTGCATTTTTGGACTTTTCTTTTGAGGGGTATAGTTCTGAAGATTGTCATGATGGAGCACCTCTGCTTCCAAATTAACCACAACACCCACAGCATACCTGTCTTCCATCTCCATGCTTTCTCTTTGCAACAGCCTGATGAGACAGAATCAGGCTGAAAGAAAATGTTTGGCCTCGGGCCATCTAGTGAGTTTCACCACTAAAGGAAGGATTCAACTCAGCTCTCCCAAGCATGAATTCACAAAACTAACCACCACACCCCCGTGGACCTTGCATTGCATTGCACTGTCCAACCCAGGCGATCTCTCTTCTCAGGACTTACGCGGCAAAACAACGTGCAGGGCCACCTTGTATTTTGAAACAAACCAGGATTTTTGGTGACCCTATGAATGAGCACGAATAATGTCATGTCCTCAACAGTCCTGCTCAGCTCCTGCAGACTCAAGACTATGGCTTCAGCCCATCTCATATTTGGTCTTCCTTTCCTCCTGCTTTTCACCTTTCCCAGAATTATTGTCTTTTTCAGGGAATTCTCACAATCTGCCTAAAGTAGGACAAACTCAGCTTGAACATTTCTTACTTCCAGAGATAGTTCAGGCTTTATTTGATCTAGGGCTACTTGTTTGTCTTTCTAGCAGTACAGGGTGCCTGCAAAAGTAAATTACTGGCTATATTTTTTTTAAAAAATCTGCTTTGGAGAGCTAAAGACAATCTCCAGTGGACCCAGGGTCTGAAAAACTGGTTCCTGTATCCCTAGAGTTTGTCTATTCCTAACCTATAAATCTTTAGACTCACTGCAGTCTCAGCCTCTGGTGGGTTGGTTTTAAAAAAACTACACAGAGATTGCTGTGTGGAGCTTCCACTTGAAGAAACTGTAAGCAAGCTTCCTGTAAGTTCAAAGAGGAATACAGAGAGGAAGGAACATTGAACTAAAGCAGGGCTGGAGAATAAGTTGCTCTCCAGATATTTCTGGAGAGCAGCTTCCATTATCTATCACCACTGCGTATACTGGCAGGGGCAAATGGAAACCAAAAACTTCTCCAGAGCCACAAGTTGTCCACCCCTGTTGGATCACCCCTCTGTTTGTGGAGACTGTAGACTTCTTCCTTTAGTAAGTTTACGTGTAACCTCTCCAGCCATTATTCCCATATATGCCACAGAGGGAGAGACAGCAGCTCATATGCAACTGCCTTGGATAAGCCTAGAGACATATGAGATTCCGAGGAGCTGAGCAGGAGTCCCTAACTTAGGACATAACGGGGCTTCATCTCCTTCTCTGGCTATGTCATCTCACCTAAACATTTGGATAAGCCTAGAGACATCTGAGACTCTGAGGGAGCTGAGCAGAAGTCCCTAACTTAGGACATAACGGGGCTTTATCTACTTCTCTGGCTATGTCATCTCACCTAAACACAACACCTTCACAGCATGAATAAACTAAGATACAAGGCATACACACCAGCATCACCTTGCCTTGATGGGAAATCTAAAGACAACGATAAACTGCTTCTGAGCATTCCCTCTATCTGGAAACCCCTGGAAAGGGTCACTGTAACTCAGAATTGACTTGATGTCACACAATGATAGTTAATGCCTGTCTTGCAAGACATGATTTCCTAGTCTTTGAATGCCTCCTCCCACCTAGATCTACTCAAATCACTCATTATAGCCAGGAGGGGTGGCTGAGGGGCCTAACACCAAGGGAGGCCCAGAAAGAAAAAAACAAGAAACCGAGCCTTCTCGGCAGTGACCCCCACCCCCCGCCTTTGGAATAGCCTCCCCTCCGAGATTCACTGGGTCCCTTTGCTGAGTATTTTCAAAAGCCAACTCAAGACCTGGCTATTTAGGCAGGCCTTTCCTCCAGTCACTATCTGTTTTTTTACCTTTTCCATCTTGAATGACATTCTTTGTTGTTAAATTGTTGTTTGATACCATTTGATTATTTTTAGTCTATATTATTGTGAGTCGCCCAGAGTAGATGCTGTCTAGATGGGTGGGATACAAATTTAATAAGTAAGTAAGTAAGTAAGTAAGTAAGTAAGTAAGTAAGTAAATAAATAAATAAATAAATAAATAAATTAATAGCTAGTTACAGCTCTGTGCAGATTCTTTTTTTCCCTCATACATACATACATACATACATACATACATACATACATACATACATACATACATAGAGAAAATGCACACCATTGTGATTTAAAACATGCCATCATAAGGAGACAAGACACCAGCCAACATGGCACAGCACTTAGTAAAGGTCTAACAGTTCTCTCTCTCTCCCAAACACGCACACACACACACACACACACACACACTCCATCCCTCTCACAAACACACCCACAAACTTTTGTGAGAGGCCCAGTAGTTCTTCTTAAGCAACCTCCGTCTTCCTAGGAAGGCATTAATTCCCCACCTTTTCTCTGAGTGCTGATCTAGGCAGCCTGACTCATTTAAGATTCAGGTCTTCTTTCCTTAGGCTTGTCCCAGCAGTTGGGCCTGAGCCCAGAATACAAGCTTGAAAATGCTTTGGTCAGGGTGAACAGCCTTCTTACCTCCATTTTGAAGGAGAGGTGCCTTCTTATTTACATTCAGGCATTACCTGACTTGAGCTCTGCCCATCTGGCCTCAGGTGGTCACAAAATGTGCCTCTGTGTCTTTTTGTTACACTTTCACCTTGCGGCTTTCCCCGGGCTTTGCAATGAATCCACCAACCAACCTTCTCCGCTGTGCCCTCTGTCCTTTCTTGGCTTCTTCAGGACCATGGACAGAGCAAGAACAGCAGTGAAATGTTAGACCCATCCTCTGGATTATCTATCTAGATTCCTGTGGAGGGGATTTGGTTCCTTGAGCTGCTTTTAAATCATTAAATCTTTGAAACATTAAAGCCCAAGGAATTTTCTGTTTAAGCCAAAGACAGTTCTGAGTCACTTCTCTGAGCCCTAGGAAAAGTTATGGAATCGTCAAGCATACCTTGCTCTTTCATTCCAACTGCAGATGTCCTATTAAATTTCACATTTATTGAGAGGCACCTGGGAGCAGATAATAACCCATTTGATTCCACTCACGCAAATGCATATCAACCCCACAAAATACAAAAACAATTTCACAACTGATCAGAATATCTTGTTCCAATACATACCACTCTGACCAGGGCAGTCTGGAGCCATTGCTCCTCTGGCTTTGTACAGGAGTTGGTATTAGGCCTATCTTAAAAGATATAAACAATTTGCTAATTCCTTAAGATGGGCAAATTGCAGTCAGGGATGGACCAGTTATGGCCTTCCAGATGCCGTCGGGCTATATCTTATGGCCTTCCAGATGTTGCTGGGCTGTGAACTCCCATCAAACCTCAGATTATATTATCCTGTGATGGTGACATCTGAACTAGGAAATCTGGAGGACCTCAGATTGCCCACTCCTGCTTTAAGACTCCTTATTAAACCTGTCTAGAACCCAGAGAGGCACCATATAGATCAGAGAAAACCAGGCCTTCTCCTGTTCTAGATAATTAGGTATTCCTGAACCGCAACAAATCAAATCACCAGAATAATCTAACATGTTTTGTTAGGTATGCTTGTCCTATCATCCTTCCTCTGTACAGCCATGGGTCGTGTAAACCCACTTATTCTTCCATAAGTAACATAAGCTGATCTTACAAACTTCTGGGTGTCCAAACTCATTCCTTTTGGGGTCTGATCTGGCTCTTTGGCATTTAGCTCCCTGTCTCCCTCTCCCTTTCAACTTGGTCGACTTCCTTTCCCACCCTGCCATTTGTGGGCCCTTTGAGGAATACTTGGAGAGGTTTTTTGGGGGGGAGAGGGAGGGAGGGAGGGAGGCGAGGAGCGGCCCGTGCATTTCCTCTCCCCTACCTGCCAGCAGCTGCATCCAGGCACAGATCTTGTAGACCGTGGCCGTGTTGCAGAAGAAGAAGAGGGCGAAGCAAGTGATGCAGCCCAGAATCAGCACCATGGAGAGCAGCACGAAGAAGGAGGCCGCCTTGAAGGCGCCCGAGGGGATGCTGCGGAAGTCAGCGAAGGAGCCCTGGCAGGTGAGCTCCCGGTTGTTGCCTTCGTTGCCCACGCAGTAATGGAAGAGCCCGAAGTAGCCCGGCTTGGGCGTGCTGACGCTGTCGCCGATCCAGTAGGGCTGGATGAAGACCACCACGTTGATGATGGCGAAGCAGATGGTGAAGATGGCCCAAAGCACGCCGATGGCCCGCGAGTTCCGCATATAGTTGTCATGGTACAGCTTGGAGGCCTCTTGCGACGGAAGCATCCTGCCGGGCGGCTCC